TGGAACCCTGGGCTCTGCTGCAGGGCAGAGTTATGGGTTGGCTTCACATGCAAGCAAAAGAGGAGCAGAAATCCCTGGAGGAACTGCGGGTGTGAAGACATTCGGGTCTCCAACCCTGAAGCTGCTCCTCGCCCCAGATCACTACAGCACAGACCCAGATTTGAGGGAGTCTGGAGAGGCTCTTCCTCTCATCATCTTTAATTGCTGGGTAGTCACAGCGCACAGACATGCCAACCAGGTCTGATTCCTCTTGGCCACAGGCTTAACTGCCAGCAGGTCACTTGGCTCAAGGCTCCACCTGGCCCACAAGAGGAGCTGCCTGTCTCCAGCCATGTCTCTCACCCTGACCTTTGGCAACAAGAGCCGCTCTCCTCCACCTCCCCGTGTGTGCTGCCAGTAATAACCACCGAAACTCGCATTTTCTAATTTAAAGATAATTTCTAGATGTTTGGATTTATTTCTTGAGATTATCTTGGGGTTTGGCTGGACAGAAAAAGCATTTGCAACACACATAATCTACTCAGAGAGAACAACACTGCTCTAAAGGGGGAGTTTTAAAGAGACTTTATGTTTCAGGAGATCTGATAAACATGTCGAAGGCTTCAAGCGCACATGTACGTTAAACAGCGGATTGACAGAGTTCCTAGAAAGTTTTCCTTGTGGAACTGAAACTGGAAACAGATAACCTTCACATCATTATCCACATTATTGAAACTGTGAAAACCAAACCACGTGCAATAACACAGCTGTTCTAGCTAGAGGCATTTAATCTCCCACTATCATCTCAAAATATACATGTTCCAGCTCCTGGTTATGCACACAGCAAGCAAGGGCTAAGAAAAAACTTAGCAAGCATCAACTTCCTGTACTTATTCCCATGTCCCTGTGTAAATTCACAAATCAGGAAAAATCCTCCTTTGTTTAGCTCTAGAGTGGTAGCTGAGTTTCCTAGAGCAAACAAGAGGAGAAAGTGTATTTGGTTAGAAATGCTAACTATGTTTGGTCCCAGAAGACACATCCTTAAGAGTATGGAGAGCACTAGCATTTTTACTAAGGACAGAGTTAAGAGATTTAAAAAGCTGAATTATTAAATAAGTATCTCTGGGATCCTATATGTAATCATATTCATATGTGACATGGCTGTGCCCATCCTGCTTGGCAGGAAACTCTACAGAGGCTTGAGAGGACATGGTTGTTGCATCTCTTGCTGTGCCTGGTGGAGACATGTTCCTACTCCACGTCTGGGGAATAAACCTTCACAGCAACACAATATGATCTTAAATACAGAAGCACTGGCCAGCCCAAACTGTAGGAGAAAATGGGGCAGGAACACCCCTTCCTTTTGCACAATTGGTCTTCAAGCCTTTTTCCCTAGGAACTCAGCTGATTTCAAACCCCTTTTCTTACTTCTGTTCTGTGTTTCCTACCTGAATAGATTGCAGACAACATGAGGCTACCTGTCATGTTTTGAAAATTTGTTGACCATGGAAATTAGAAACACATTAAATAAATGTGCCTCAAGATCCACAAAGTAAGCTTATCACTAGGCTGATATCCAGTATGTGAAATGTTCTCCAACAAAAAAATTGTTTTCAATAAACACCCTGAGACAATCTGTGACACATTCAGGAGGGAAGAATGAGGTTAATTTTAGAAGATGATATTAGTGCATCCTGTGTGTGAACACAGTGGAAAGATTTCTGTAGTTGCTTTAGTGGGTTTCACAGTATTCAGAGTATGAGATTGTACCTGAGCGTAATAGCGATTAGATGTCTTGGACCCTGCAAAATTTTCAGAGGCAATTACCTTACAGGGAATAAATTAATTGGCAGCTCAGTGTTGTATAGGAAACCTGTGCTCTGCAGGTGCCCACTCTGCTCCATCCCAATCTGGCCCTCATCCTAATAGTGTTAATGATGGCTTTGTGATATTTCCATTCCTTTTAGTTTCATTTGGATGAAGCCATTCCCTTTAGGTTAAAGTTTGGATGGTTCACAGCTATCTGTAATCTATTCAGGTTATCAGAAGGTGGAATGGTAAAAGGAAAGAAATTAAATTTTCAACTCTTTCCTACCAAATTCTGTCAATTAACCGGAGTTGTTTAATTATGCTTTGCAACAATCATGTCTATTTATTAGTCACATGGCTGTCTAATCCTAATTCTCCTTTATCAATTTAATATATCTTAAAACTCAAGTACAAAATTACAGCCACCTGAAAAAATTTAAACTTTCAGTATTAAGCATTACTGCACAAGAAGTTGAAAACCTGGAAGAACCACCATGATCCTGGGACTTGACCACTTGCAGGACACATGTGATGCAACCTTGCCTAGCAATCCCACAATTTCTGTCCAAACAGAACACATAATCTCAAAAAGCACTACCATAAAGGCAAGCACACGCTGCTCTGAGAGACCTGGTGGCTGCAATGTAGAGCATTTATTGGATTTTAAAATCTGCTGGTTAATGTGTAGTTCTGGAATAACTTAGTGTAAAACATAAGGCAAGGAATAATGGCATATATATCAGTCATTATTGGCCTTCCTCTTCCCATTTTGATGGTCATAGTTTTCCCTCTGTTTCTTCGCGATCTGAAATTAAAACGATAGGGTTTGGTGTCCATGTGTTTGTTTGCTTGTTTTGTTTCCCCTGAGATTCAATTATTCAAGCAAGGCTTCAAGAGACCAGTTTTTTAAAAAATTAAATCACACTGTTACAATAACTGACACCTGTGAGGGGATGAGTAGAAAGCCCGAGTGCCCGCTGGTTTTCAAAGAGGCACCTTATCCTGCCATTTCTGTTGGGGATGCTTTGTGCTCAGCAGCGCTCCGGGCCGAGCAGCAAGCACTGGAGCAGTGCTGCTGCCTACAGGTCTGCTCGGCGCAGCGCTCAAACCGCACACGGAACCAAGTCCTCCCGCCGGGATGCTCCCGATTGGGAAAGGGATCGAAACCCTGACACTAAAGTATGTTGACTCTGCCGAAACGCAAGCTGGCAGTCTGTAGCCTCTCTTGCCCTGCGGCTAACCTGTGTTAAAGATCCCAAATCGAGCAGATTTCCTTAAAGGGAAAGGTGGATCTGTGCTGCACGAGAGTACAATTTCTGCCTTTTTTTTTTTTTTTTTTTTTTTTTTTTTTTTTTTTTTTTTTTTTTTTTTTTTTTTTTTTTTTTTTTTTTTTTTTTTTTTTGTCTGCAATGAAGAGGAAACGTTGCAGGTGCAGAGCAAGAGGAAGCACCTGCTCCTAGATGGGAACCCCCTCCCATCGCAACACACCAGTGCACAAAACATGTACACATCTCTACACGATGGTGTACAGAACGGCTGGAAACCACCTTTGAGTCTGCACTGGTAAACTTTTAGACCATATGTGATGTAATTGGAATTTACTAAAATTTAGTCGGGGCTCTTCATTGCTTGGAATTTAATTAATTTTAATTTCTCTTCCCTCTGTAACTCAGAAATTTTGATAACTGCTTTTCTACCTCTATCAATAACACTGAGAAAACCTTCAGGATAACCAATTTCATCACTGCTGAAATCAAACACAGCATCTTCCAGAACAGGAGATCAACAATAATAAATCTATTTCAATAAATCTAAATAAATCTATCCAGCAAACAGAAGCAAACAGTGAAGACCTTAAAAGCATCTATTTAACCAAACGTTGTGGATTTCAGGGTCAGGTTACCAAAGACATTTTCAGATTACAAGCTTTCAATAAACAACAGAGGAAGGAGCAAACTCAGAAGGAGTAAAAAATATTTTTCCCCATTAAAAAAATATTTTTCCCCATTAAAAAATATATTTTTTCCTAATAAGGAAAAGCAAAGCCAGCTTATTTGCAAACTCTTTAGAATGTTTGGTTCTCAAGATGAACAATCAAGTTCAGGAGCAGAGCACCTTGCAGCCGCAGTCGGAAGCTCAAACAACAGGATAGTCTGATCTGACACATGGAATCTCTCTGAAGCTTTTCCCGTTTAGGAGGCAGCATGCCTGCTTCAAGTGACTCTTGGCTCCACAATGAGAGTGTGAGAACCGCTGAGCAGTTCACACTGAGTGTATGAGAAAATAAGTAGCTGTTCCGTCTTCTTTAACTACCACTTTTTCTGGGAAAAAAAAACATGTTTTCAGTACTGGATACCTGGTGAAAACTTTAGTGTGACTGGAAAACAGCATTCTGTTGTTTGGTTTTTTTTTCGTTGGAGACTGTCCTTCTGCCAAAGAAATTCGTTAAAGAATTTGCCACACCTGTAGTAATTACAGCCCGTCAAGTATCGGGGAATACAAAAAACCTCTATTATTGTGGGAAATCGTTTTAAGCACTGGAAAGGGTGGATGGCAGACAACACTCAGAAATATCTCATCCTCTTGATGCAACCTCATTCCCTCTTCAGAAGTATCTTATCAGCAGTTGATGTTCCTATCACTGTGTCCGAGGGGCACCGTGACCTCTTCAAAGCCTGCACGGAGAGGGGTGACGATCAGAGAAGTTCAAGGTGCCTGTGGCAGGGCAGGCCCCGGGCAGGAAGAGTGCCCCTTCCCAGGCAAGCCAGCGGCAGCACTAGACCGCGGAGAGCTGCGCTCGGAGGGGCAAGCTGCAAACAGAGCGCACCTCCACAGATTTCCTCGCGGAGTACTTTGTCGGACACAACAAGAGGTGAGGGACATTCACTGACTGCAGGGGGAAAAAAAAAAAAAAAGAAGAACGTACAACGAAACACTTCGGAATGTGCACTTCAGGAATGTAAAGACCGAAGCGATTGCGAATACGAATTATTGTAGGGACAGAACAAGGCCGGAGGGGTCCGCAAAGCCCCGGGCGGGGGTCGTTTCCTCGGGGCCGGGGCGCCCCGCGGCGGCGGGGCGGGACGGGATGAGACGGGACCCGCCCGGGGAGGTGCCACTCGCATTTCCTCGGCGTCCCGCGGGGGCGGTCGCGGGTAGGAGTCGTTCCCTGGCGGGGCGGAGGCAGCGGGGAAGCGGCAGCGGGGGCAAGGATGACCCAGCGCCGGGAGCCGCTGGACCAGGAGCTGGAGGCCCTCGGGTAAGCGGAGCTCGTGGGGGGAAGAGGGGAGTCCCAGCACGAAGGACGTCCTAAATGACCGTCCTGCGGTGGTGTCGGGTGACCCGACGGGAGCTGAGGGAGTGGGAGCTGCTGGTTCTTTGCTGCTGGGTTTTGGTGGTGCCGCGCCACTCGATGGGAGCTGGCAAGCAGGGAGCTGCTGGTTCTCGCTGCTGGGTTTTGGTAATGAAGTGAGTGATAAGGAAACGTGAGGTTTGGCTCAACGAGCCCGACAAAGAGCTCTGGGCATGGTGTGCGGTCCCTTGGAGGAGCCCAGTGCCTCGGCCCTGTGGCAGGTGGGAAAGGCTGGAAGTCCACAGGTGAGTGGGAGGGATAGATAATAGGAAAAACCAGAGCGCAGGCAGGCGTTTCGAATCCAGTGGAGAGTTTGCGTCAGTTTCCCCCAGAGAATCTCTGTGATGTTGAAATCTCCTATGCTGGGAAGAGTCCAGATTGTGCCGTGCCACTTTCCCACGATTCAAGGGAGCACCAAACCCAGAGCTTGGACTCAGAGCTGCTGCCCTCCCAGTGCCCTCCCTTCGGCTGCCTCCCTGTGGTTTGGTCTGGGCCCTGGAGCAGAGGGCTGCTGTCCCAGCCACCATGCCGGCTGCTCCTCGCTGGGCCCTGGGAGGCAGCAGGCTTCCCAAAGGTGCCGTAATTCGCAGCCATTATGAGGAGGACATCACGCTCAGTGAAAAGCGAAAAACCCCAGGAGCGAAAAGGAATGCTGAAGGCTGCGATAGACTGTCCCTGTCCGATGTGACACACCCATTTCGCCTGTCAGTTAGTTTTGGTTTTCACAGGAGAAAGGCAGCGTTGCCGTGGGTAAGAAGAAACACGGGCTGGAGGAGCAGCACAGATGGGTGCAGGGAAGATAGGATCAGTGGCAGCAAAGCAAAAGGGAGGCAAAGCAGAAGAAAGGCCAGTGATGATTCTGACAAAGCAAAAAGGCTCTGGTGTCACCTCTGCATTCAAAAAGAATAGATGAAAAAAGGAAAGGTGTTTTGCTTCCTGAGTACTTGCGAATTAGGGCAAACTCATTGCGTGTTTTTATGATTAATTCACTTAGAGAAGAAATTGGAGTGCAACAAAATTAATTGAAATTACCATCTCCACACTGCTGATATTTTCCCATAATTAGAAGAACCTTTAAAAGAAATGCCTGTTCATGGAAGCATCTAACAAGTATGATATTAAGTCACTTTGAAGTGGTATCCAGGGTGGCCATTATATACTTTTTCTTTGCATCTGCAAGGCTATGCTCATCCTAAAATAATATCTTCAGGGAAAAAGGAAAAAAAAATAGTTGCAGCTGTTGTGGGAAGCCTTATTCCCAATCACCAGACTTTTATTCATTTACACTATTTGGTCTGAGCTGATAACATACAGGTAACACCTGCCTAGTAATGGCCTCACTCATTGGCGAGGAGTTCGTCCTCTTGTAGAACTGCAGCTTGAGGTGGTACCTAATGTGGTGTCCATAAGGAGAGGGTACAGATGGGAGTGATACAAATATGCATTTTTAAAGCGGTAGCTTCTTTATTTTATTTCCACTTCAATGAAAAACCTAAACTTTTCACCCTACCACAGAACACTAAACACCTCCTTCAGAGGAGTCCATTGAGTTAAATGCACTAAAGGCGCAATGCCAGGCAAAGAGTCCCTTCAAATTATTAAACAAGGTCTTTTCTTTTCAGCTAGTACTAAAGTAACTTTTTTTTTTTGTCTTTTTTCTAAAGAGGAAAAAGAAGTCCTCACACAGCAAGCATTTTTGTAGCCTAGTCTAAAAGGTCTCTTAATGCAAATACTTCTTCAGCTGTGAGAAGTAGGCATGTCACTCTCCAGACCATAAAACTGAGTTTTCAGTCATCACAAGGGTTTTCCAACCTAAACTTAGTTCCTGACACTATCACAGTGCTGAGTTCCCCTGGCACCCAACATAGTATCTGACACAAGTGAGACCCAGTTTGGTGAGGAACATGTCATTGCCATAGTAAAGACCAACAGAGACAGCAGTCATTCAAATGAGGAGCAGCTTTGAAATTTGGGTACCTTTGTTGGGGGGGTGGAAGTTGAAGCAGGTTATTTTAGAGCTTCTGCTTTATGGTGCAAAAATCAAAGAAGTTGGCTAAGGTTTGAAGAAGTGTAAAATGAGTACTTTTGCTTTCCTTTTCAAGAAAGGAGGCTGAGTACTGGGATATGCTCATAGTTTACAAGGTTAGCTGCTTATCAAAATGGAAAGTTGTCAGCAATGTAATGAAAATTCAGCTTACAGTCAGTTTCATTGTCAGGATGTGCATACAGGTGACCTAATGCCTAATGAAAAGGGAGATCAAAATCAAAACACATTGTTAAAAACTTGTTGTCTCGTTCATTAACTTTGTCCCTGAATGTACTAAAATGTCTAAAAGGGAACACTGAAGTTTGTCAAAAGAGACATAAACATCTTGGCTTAAGGGAAAAGGAAAATGACACTGGGATTCTTCTTTGAAGGTCTCTTTGGTTACTCCTGTAGTCAACCCTTTTATCACTTGCAGTTCTTGCTGTTACAGCTGAAAGGACAGCCTTTATATGCAGTGTGAAGCTCCTGTAAGTGATCACGTACTATGTGAGTCTGGGGAATTCCACATTTCAGTTCACATTATTTGCGCAAGAGATGAGAATGTGGAATATCCCGTCATCCGAGTAATTCCAGGCTGATCTGGTAGAGCAGTTTCCATCCCAGTACAGCATAGTTTGGGTGATACTGTTTGCGTGTTAGAGGTGAAAGGAATGGGACGAGAGGAAATAAGTTTTTGTAGCCTTTTTCCTTTTGTAGCCTGAGCTTTCTTTGTAACCCCTTGCAGCAGAGTTTCTACGCTCCTCTGGGTTTGACAATACTGTGACAGACAATATTTGTAAGTCTGAACAATACATTTCATGCTTAGTTTTCATAACAGAAGAGAAATTGAGCCACAGGCCTAGATCAGGTGAAAACCAGAATGAAGGCAGTTGAAAGAAGGGGGAGAGAAAATGGAAGCGAAAAGCAGAAGCTGAACTAGTGAAAGTCTACAGTTAGAAGGCAGGAACTTTAAGGCTGGACACACTGATGTTATTTCCTTTTATTTCTATTTTAAAATTATTTTTCCTATGTAATAACATCCTTGTATTCCAACAAAGTGCTTTACTTAGGCACGTGATTAAGTGTTTTGGTGTGACACATTGAAAGGATGTCTAATAAATACCAATTTTGGTTTCCTGCCATCTATAACTTCTGTCTTAGCATTCTTGCCCTCTTGTAGGTTCTCTAGAGCTCTGTCAACTCATGTACCATTAAAAACCTTGCCAAAACTTTACTTTTACTGACGTGAGGTACCCCCTTGCAACTTTCAGATGGCAGGCAATGCTTCTAGGGTTTGATGTTAGGAAAACAAGTTTAAGAAAAACCCAAAACAACTTAACTTGACAGATTATATCTGGAAGTTGCTGAAATCCAGAATGCCAAAAATAGAGAACTAGTGAGTCAGTTTTGTAGAGTCATTTTTGGACTACAGGCATGTGAAGAGCATTGAATCCAGTCAGAGGAGATACGTCAGTGCCCTCCTGTGCACTCCATCAAGGAGTACTAGGTACCACTCCTTTAACCTAAGAATGGAATACATTTTGAACCTAGTATATGGTTTCAAAGTGTAAGCAAATTCAACTCCTTGTGGAAGAAGATATTTTTTAGTAAAAAAAAAAGATGCAAAACTTGCCATCATCTACTACGGCAACAAACAAACAAACAACAACAACAACAACAACAAAACACCCCAAACAACAAAAAACTCCAACCAACCAACTCAGGGTAAATAACTGCTATGAATAATACTGGAGTGAAGTCCTACTGCAAGCACATCTGGACCATTCTTGTTACCCTTCAGAAGTGGCTGAGACATGAGTTAGATTTTTTGTGTTTCTGCCTGGGTCCTTCAAGGTGCTTTCCACAGGGATGGTCACCCACTGAGGAGCACCATATGCAGTAGGGGAGGGGGTTTCTGGGAAGGAGCAGAGAATTCACAGAGATGAATACCCAGAATCTCCTTCTTGCTTCGGAGAAGGAGCTTTAAATGGCCTGACTTTTTATGAAAGCAAGCCTAACGTGCACACACTTTCTAACTCTATCCAGGCTATAACCACCTGAGAACATAATCTGATAAGCACACAAAAACTAAGTGTGACCTCTGCCTACTGCATTTATCTTATAGCTGGGCATACCTCAGAGTTATCACTCCAGACACTAAAACCAAATGGCAGAACTTCTAGATGTTCTTTCTTCTGGTGCTACTATCTTTCATTTTTATGAGGAAGAAAAGCGAGTGTTTGTACTGGGTGTTACTCAGTTTGCACATAGAAATGGCTGAGAAGAGAGTTAGTTATCCAAGTCTCTCAACATTCATTCTTGCATGAACCAGTGTTTGTGCTCCTTGTGTGTTCTGTTACTGTTAAAAAGTTAATCCACCTGATGCCAGCTACAAGGTTATTCACTAGCCTCTATTGACACAGGCATTAACGTTTTGCAAGGTGTCCATATGGCTTCTTCAAAAATAGCATTACCAGAATCAACAGATCCCATACCTAGGGGCTCTCTGGTCTGCAGGGACATAGAAATAAAGTTTCATTAACATTTTTCATTGAAACAACTTGGGTTGTTAAGGAACAAATGAACACTTGGAAGATGGTGTTCTAACCCAAAGAGGGAGCTTCCCACGTCAAACAGTGTTGTAACATATTTGTGATCATCACCTCAGAGTAGGTAGTTCCAGTCACTGTATGAACTACACAGAGATCATAATGCAAGAACAGATTTTAACATGAGTGCATCCTATTTTGGAGTTTTGAGGACGAGCATAGTTACGGTGATATGGCTGCCAGCTTACTCCCCAGGGGAACCCCACTGATGGGCGGATCTTTAGGGCAAGGCTGTGTGCTCTGATGCATTTTGGCTCTCTGGGGCACTGGGCGTCTCATTTCTTTCTCCTTTTCTTATCAGCCATGTTGGTAAAGTCCTTCCTACACTGTCACCAATGTGCTCGGAGCTAAAGAATAGGCTAATTTTTGAAAATGCTTTTTTTCTCGAAGATTAACAAAGGTAATCTCACTAGGTGTGCATGCCCATCCCAAGATGTGCTTTCACTGACCCAGCAGACTCTTCTATTTCGAAGAGCAGGAAGAATAATATGGTCATTCAACAACACAACAAACGTGCTTATATGTATGGGATTAAGAGATTTAATGTCGTTTGGGACAAAGTTAAAGTAACCAGAATGGATAAATGACAGCAGTTACAAACTCTGAGACTGAGATTGCTAGTCAAATCGTGGAGAAGTAACCCCCAAAAGATAAGGATGTGGATTTTTTTAATTGGAGAAATGAAATGATTAGAAAAGAAAAACCTCTATATATCAGACAGGAGAGTATGCACAGCCGAGGGTATGCACAGCCAAGGGTAGCCAGCAGAAGTGGCTTGAAAGCAGGAAAGGACTTTCATCTATCTTTCTGCTTGTGTTTCTTCTGAGAAATCTGAATCAGGAACCTCACACAATCTTTACACTGCTGATGATTTTCAGTCTGATGAATGTCCAAGTACAGAGCATATTTCTGAATTTTTTTTTGTAGTGAATACAGGAATCTATAAAGAAGAATTTTGGAAGGAGCTTCAGAAACAGGAGCTTCAGAAACAGGAGCTGCAAGATGTGCAGCATGGTTCAAAATCAAAGACTGAAGCCAAGCTTTTTGAAGGACTTTCTAGGGGCTTCAAACAGATGGGTGTTTGTAAAGTGTTTTGATTTCCTCATTTTAAGAAGGCAAGAAGGTAGATTCAGTATTGTCTTTTCTATCAAGAGTTTCCTGTTCCAGGTATCACTCTGACCCAAATCTTTGTTTGCAAAGCCTAGCCATGAAAAAAAGAATCACTCTGAAGACAACCAAAATTTAAGCTAAAGGTTACTGCCTCTTACAGTGTTTTGTCAGATCATCCATGTCTGCCATCTTGATTTGCCTGCAAATTTCAAAGAACTGCTTAAAAGATTTTTTTTTTCTGAATTAGATAAAAAGGATTCCCCCTCTGACAAATACTTAAATTTACCTCAAGTATACCTAGTAGTGTCTCACAACAGAACTGTTTGGGTTTATTTTTAGTCCTGCTTATTTCTATTTGTATCACCAGGCAGGCTTGATTGGGAGAGCAAACTGTTTGCACAGGTGTGTATTTGTTTACCTTCCTGGGGTCTGTGGTGCAAATTCTGAATTTTCCACAGCATTTCAAAATATTACCTATGCCTGTGCAATTGCAACGAGTTTTGTGTGACCATTTTCACAGTGGAATATCCACATAACGCAGTTGAACCATCTGTGACAGTCAGGAAGTAAAAAAAACCCAAAATATGTAAACCAGTCCCTTTGACACTAAGATCTGCGGTACTGCCTCCCATCCACTTCTACTTTTTAAACTGAGCAAGAGGAACACAGTAACATTTGAGGGATTTTTGTCTGAGACAGCATATTTAGGCAAGATGAGCAGTGGAACATTGTCAGCAAAACTGCACTTTCAAACAATATTATATTCCCAATTAAGTGGGTGGGGTTTTGTTGTTGGCTTTTGGTTAGTTTATTTATTTTTATTTGCATAGTGGTAAAATTTTGTTAGTCACTGGCCTTTTATGTTTAAAGAGAGTGTGGATTTAAACATAGCACTTTTTAAACACATTTGAAACATAGCATTTTTTAAACCCTAATTAGGATCTTAGAAAAAGGCATTTCTGGAAATGAGGTAACAGCACACTTATGAGCAAGGTCAAACTAAATTCACCTCCTTCATGCAAGTGACCACTTACAGATTCTGTCAAAGTATGCTTCTTTTGCACAGAAGTGAGAGAAGTGGTGTTATGAAATCCCACCCGAAACAGTGTTACCTTCCCAGCTGTAGGTCCAGCCAAGCGTGCATGCTGATATGATCCTCTTCACATCAGGGCAGATCTGACCTTTGACTGTTACTTACTTGGGCAGTTAATCCCAAAGCGGATTTTGGCTGACAGGTGTTTCAGAAGATGACACTTTGATCTTTAAATATTCATTATATTATTCTACTGTGTAGATGGCCCACGAACCACAATCTAGAGCCAAAGCAGCAATACCCTGTCAGTATTGAGTTTCACATGGATCTTGTCTTCCACTGGGTTAATGGTCTGGACTCTCTTATAAAGCAATTTATCAGCCAGCTGGCCTTTCAGCTAGGCAGCTGTCCAAATTCAGAGTTAAGGCTTTGTGTGAGATGACAAGTTTAGTGGCAATTTGGGAAGAACAGCTAAGGAGAAGGAGTATACAATTGCACCCGTGTTCAGTTTAAAGACTGCCACGATACAAATTCTGAACAGTGCTGTGATGACATTTCTGCTTTCAGTGAGACTGTATTTCTCTGGCTGAAACAGTAACAGACTTTGACCCCAGTGCTACAGGCACATACAGTTTAAAAGAAGGGAAAGGAGACCTGTCACCACTCCACTCACAGACATAGGAAGTTTGCTGCCTGCATCCAAGTGCCTTGGATGTAGTATCCCTCCCTCTAGGCTCTAGTGGGTATATATAGCTATTGTTAATATCTGCAGGTTAATAACCTTGTATAGCTGTGGCACTTTTTTGTGTTCAGTCTGAGGTTCATTTCTAAGGAGATCCTTGGCTGTTGAAAGAAATTGGGTGTTTCTACTGTGGAACATTAAAATTAAATGGAATGAAAATGAATGAAAAGAAAGCCATAAACTACATTTCCTGGACTTCTTTGTAGGAGTCTTTTTTTTTTTTTTTTTTATTCCTCTGAATTCCTTGCAGAATTTTTCACATAGAAAAACGAAGTTTATTTTCACTAAAGTTAAATTGAAGCAGGTGTTAAGATGTTTTCCTCCATTTTTCAGACCTTGCATGGCCAAGTGGCAACAATGATGAGATTTCTTAATTTCCACTGAAATTTTGTCAGTTAATTTTGAACCCTGTAATTCTAAGCTTAGGCAAGCATCTTTAATTGCAGATCTTAGTAGTGCAGATCTGTTGTGGGAAACACAGAGTTTGTGAGGAGTTTAAGTGCTGCCTGTTTGCCCCAGAAGAGGAAGTGTACCAAAGCATATAGATATGTCAGGAAGTACAGATTCTGAAAATAGATGAAGGATTCTGTATGCCCCCCCAAAATTGCTTTCACCTTGTCAGCACAGACCTGGGGGTAACTTGTTACTCAAACAAGTAGAATTTGCAGGGTTCGTCAGAATCAAACTGTCAGCTGTTTGTACACAACTTCGCATTAACAAAAAATAGTTCTCTGAGCATGTCGAAAGGCGGCTGCTGAAAGGGGAATGGATCTGTGTAACCTGTGAGTCGGGTGCTAACTCAAAATTGTAGCAGCGTTGTTGCCGTCCTTCCTCTTTCTGTAACCCTGCTCCAAAAAGCAGCAGCAGCAGCTGTCATTTAAGGGCTGAGAGAATGATGCTTTAACCCTTTGTGTCTTCCCAGGTGGTACCACGATAATCTCACCCGGCACGCAGCAGAAGCGCTGCTGCTTTCCAACGGGCAGGATGGCAGCTATCTTTTGAGGAAGAGTAATGAAAGGGAAGATTTGTACTCCCTCTCCGTAAGGTAGGATATGGACAGAGTGAATTAATCTAATGCTGCACTTCCACGTCTGTGTGAATCTCTCGTGCACTGAAATGACCTACAGGTTTTTTTCCTAGGGCTCGGACTATTTTGAAGTATATTCCTAATGGTGTAATCCCACTGATCAATGTTTTGTTAGAGGAAAACAAACAATTGATTGGATTTGACAGTTGCTCTCATTTTTCCAAATTGTAAAGTAATTTTATTGGTAGAAAACATCCATTCTATGGATTGGCTGTAGATTTTCAGTCTGCATGATAAAAATCTGTGTGGCAGTTACAAGAGCTTAAGAGACAGCTGATGGGAGTAGAGAAGTTTTATGATGAAGATAGTGGCAAACATACCATCTAACAGGTGCTAGCTTCACTAGTTTCTGAATCACTGAATAGGAACCACCATCTGAAGGATGTTCCAGTGTTTGACTGGATGGTTTTACTCCTCTGTTGTGGGCTAAGGTTCAGCTTTAGCCAGTAGCGCATGACTGACTTAGACAGTATTTTGGAGGTGACAAATGTCAGGCTCTTGAAGTCAACTACAGCAATTTACATGAGTTTAGGACACTACAAATCACATTTAAAGACTCTCCCAAGAAGGAGAGAAGCCACAGTATTTTAGAGGCAACACAAAGGACGTATGCATTAGAGACACAAGTTGGTCCCTGCATATCAACTGAGAGGAGGTAACCAACCCTAAATACATTCTTAGCCTTTAGCAAGTGTATCAGCAGCCGCAGAGTAAAATTTTAAGCTACTGCGTTCAAGCTCATTTCTGCCTCAAACTGAGCCTCTGAACGATTGGTGGCCACAGCTCAGCTGAATCACAGTAGCTTTTTAAGCTAAAGCCACTTTGAACAGTGCAATGATGCTGATTATTTACAATCCTGATAGGAACACAGCATATGCCCTTGAGATTGTGGCTTTCTGCATCTGCAGTACCACGAGCTGTTACAATTCGGAAGTGCAGTTTGGACATACCCTGTTCCCCAGCAAAGGCAACTATGAGCTGTTTCACCCCTTTCTGGCAGAAGGTCAGGAGCAAGTGTGCCTATACATACACTGTTGAAATTATTACCACTACAGACAGCTATTTATGCAAGGAAGCTTTGGGGGTGCCCGACAGATCTGAAGGTGATGTTACAAAATGAGTATTTGGAGTGGCAATGACTGAATTGAGGGCAAGTGTTAGGGAAAAGAATAGTGGCATTTGTAAGTAATAGCTTTCCTTAAAAAAAAAAAAAAAGATAATATAAAATGAATCGTCTCTTTTGTCAATACTTTTTGACTTTAAAATGTAACTAAGCATTATTTGAGATCATCTACCTCAGACAATCAAAAATATACAACTAAGCTAGTTTTAAAGGGCACTCAGGAATCAACTTATTGTAATAAAACGAAATTTAAATAGTTGGTCATTTAATAGGAAAAAAAAGTGTTAGTTAATGAAAATAAATTTGCTGCTTTAACAAATTGTAGCCTTAAAAGACCTAGAAAAGTCTACTTCAGGCCCATTCCAACCTCTTGTTCAGCTCTGGCTATATTAAAAAGAGTTACTTGCTGCATTACCATGTGAACTGAATAGCCCAATCTGGAGTTTGATAATTTATTCTGTTACATCAGTTTTTGGTGGTACTGCTCCCTTAATACTGATTTTGGTTTTAAAATGCTTAAATTATTTTCTATGTTTTTTTAATTTTACCTTTTCCTTTCAATTTTCTAACTAATATTAAAACTTAAATTTAAAATAAATAATTCAGTTTTGTTCTGATCCATTTTTGTGGAAAGGATAAATTTAGCAATTCTAGCTGTCATTTTATTTCTCTCCTAAAATGTCTTCTGTAGCTTTTACTTTACCTTTTGCCTCTGCCTCATGAGGAACTTCGGTCATTATTATAGTTTTGGATTTTCTTAAAGGAAAAACTGCTTAGACATCCCTTGAGGGGTTTATTGACAGCTGTAGGAAGAGAGAGATCGTGTATTACCCGAAATCTGCTCCCCCAGTTAAATTAGCCAATTTGAAAAGGAAGCAGGAAGCAGCGTAGAAGTTGCTCTCATTGCAACATTATATTTCTTATGAAATTAGAGGAAAAGACAGAAAATCCTGTCATTGCAGCAGAGTTACAGCAGCTCTGTGCTGGTGAGGAGCATTTGCACTTGGCTTGTTGCAGGCGTTGTGCCCCAGCTGACTGTAGCACAAAAATGTTGGAGGCCAATAGAGGCACGCTCTACAATATCATGAATACTGTTCAGAGATAAATATTTAGGTACCTAGTGATTGAAATCATGATCTTCAGTGGAAGTGGCAATAAACAATGAAAAAGACACTATAAATCCCTTTCTTCACTCTATTTTCAATATAATTTTTATAAGTTTTTACTTGGACAAAGTTTACTCCAAACTATTTCGACTGCTAGTAACATTAACAAAAGTAACTTTTTCACTGGAGAAATACTTTCATTAAGTGCTTCACTTTCTTTTGTGTCAAAATAATTGCCCATCCGGGAAGTGAGGCCTTTCACACTTCTCAAATACCATCAGGTTTCACAAACAAATGCTGTTACTTCCTCTCCAGCCAAAGGACCCTGGTCCACGTTTGATAGTGCCCATCACAGAGGAACCATTCATCCAAACAGAAACAAAGCAAATTGTAAAGCCTTAGGTATTTAAAAGTAGGTTATCAAACCCCTGTTTGGGTGCCAAAAGGAGACAGCTTATTTTTGAAAGAGAAGGAGGAGACATTTTAAATGAGATTGGGATGCTTCCTGAAAAGTAAGACATGTCCCAAGTAATATCAAGACTAAAGCCAGTAAGTGAAGGAATATCATCCTACTTAGGCAGAAGGCTTGAAATCTCTTTTGTGAGTCTTTTTACTGATGCAAGAGTTAAAGTAAGGGTTAAGTCACTTGGCCTTTCTAGGCTTTCATCATCTCATTTCTGTAAAGCAGCAATTCAAATCTGATTCTTGGATGTGCTGAGTATTAGCAGGGACAGTAATGGCAGTAGTATTACTGCTAGGACAGTGAATGTCAGCCTGTGCCCTGGGCCAGATTTCCTGTAGTGAAAGCTGCTATTTAAGGATTGTGTATCCCAAAAGCCTCTGGCATTTATGCCTTGACAAATATTCCTTTTTTATTTTAGGGGAAAAGATTCTGTGAAACACTTCCATGTTGAACATACAGGAACTTCATTCAAATTTGGGTTTAATGAATTTTCTAGCTTGAAGGAATTGGTCATGCATTTTGCCAATCAGCCTTTAATTGGAAGTGAAACAGGTAAGGAGAGCCATATGTTTGTATGAATACATTTGTAGTCATGCTTCAAACAGATTTAAGTACAAGGAGCTTCCAATGTGATAGCAAGTAGATCTACTGCTGAAGTGTTCCTGTTCATAAATTCACATTTGTATTACCCTCAGGTATCTAAAAAGTTCCCCTTCAAAAAAAATCAAGTACTCTGAAGATAAACCACATATAAGTTTACTGGGTTTTTGCTAACCAGGGCTGTGAGCTGCTTTTAATTACTCAGAGGAGGAAGTGTTTCAAAATGCACCTGTACAGGGAGGAAACATTCTCAAAAAGGGCAAAACCAAAGCAGGGCGTTCAGTGAGCAAATAAACACTCATCTATGAATTTGAAATCCCCTTATAAGAATAAATGGAAAAGGGACTTGAAATTGTTTACGTTCACTACTCTTCATCTAAGGAAGAAGTCTGCAGTGTCATGTTCCTCTTTCCTGTAGGGAATGTGGCCTGAACCAGCTCTCCTGTTCTATCTACAGTGCATTAGCCTGCTGATGCCATGTGCCATCACAGTGATTTGTCTTGCTTTTAAAAGAGAAAAGGCACAGGATTCTTTAACAGACAGTGTGATGCCTGAATTAAAGTTCAGAAGATTAAACTTGATTCCTACAAGTGAGCCGAGCATGATCAGACTAGAACCCCTGGAGAAACAGATGTGTAATATCATAATAATACCAGTTTTAGGTTTTTCTTCAAACCTAAGAGTTGAAGATGTGTCGTTACAACATAGTGCCAAAAACTTCAGTATCCTCTGTAGAAAGTGCATGCAAATAACTCAGAGTAGTACTAGTTATATATGCAAGAGACCAATTAAATGACAGTTGGCACATGCCATAACTGTAATATGTCACACATGCACTCTTTTAATGCAAACATTAAATTCAAGGGTTGCTTTGCAAATTCCTTCCCCCAAGAAAAGTGCAGTTGTACACTCAATAAGGCACTAGTATCTTTCAAAGCATTCTCTTTTTAAATCACTTTGAAGAGTGGTTTGAACGCAGGGCTCCTACTTGTATCCTCTGTGCCAGTAAGCTATTTTTCCTGTGAAATCAGATATGCATCAACAGGCCCAACTCTGTAAAGATTTCAGATGACATACAAAACTTGTATTGACCCATTCCTCATTCCTTCACTGCACATATTACAGACATTAGTAAGCAAGGACTTGGTGATATGTGATCTCTGTGGATGGCATCAACACTGCTGAATGATGGGCTCATTTGTCACTTCAGGGCTTCCTAATCAGATTCTGCTGGCTCTGTGAAACCTCCAAGTTGGGTGTGCTACAGAATGAAAAAAAATATAAACTTGGACATCACATTAAGAAACATTCCACCTTACCTTACTATGGATAACAGTAGAGAAGAAGGGAGTGTTAGCACTCAGGCAATGTTCCTTCAGATGCAGGTGTCAAAGTTCTCCTGGATGGTAACCAGTTTCTGTCAAAAAGGGGGTAGGTGCTCATCAGTGTCAACTCTAAGCCATGCCTCAGTGTGGCAGAATGTCTGTCCCAACACAGAGTCACACAGCAGATTGGCAGAAGGACCAGAAAGGGAGTCTGATTTAGTAGGGAACACTTCCTTTCAGTGAAAAGCAGCAAGTGACCTTTAGCTCAGACATTAGTAGAAAGTAGCTGGACCAGTTTTTCTTATTCCCTGTTATACTTGCAAACAATTTTCTATAGAAACACTGTGAGATCAGGAATGAAAGAGTAAAGCAAGACAGCATTTTTCGTCTTCTCCTTGTTTTGAACAGGGACAGAGACACATGAGATAGGATGTGTGATGGTTTCCACTATCTTCCACTTAAGTTTATCTGAGGGGAGCTAGTTTTGTGTCTGAAGAGGCTCACCAGACTCTCTTTGATCAGTACTTTAACAAACAGGCCTACACCCACGCAAAGTGGTCCATGGATTGCAGTGGTTCTTTCGTATTGGGACAGCTGCAGGTTTGTGCTTCAAGCCCAACCTTGCCTGTATTACAGCTTCATTTGCCACCTTCTACTTCTTGAAGTGCAATGGGTACGTTTCCTTCTAAACTACAGATAACTATAAGGAGTGTGGGGCTACTATGTTTTTTGAGATGGTTTATTGAACAGGCAAGATAGATCTTCATTCAAAGTAACAAGGTCAACATGTTATTCTTACCTGTTTGCGTCATTTATGAGCTTTTAACTAATGATTTTGAAAACGTGTAATAACTTCATAATTATCCAGACCAAAAAGCCAAAGTAATTTAAAGCTAACATCTCTAACAATGAGACTAACTTCATTCTTCCTTAGAAATAGATACCATGCACAAACATGCAAGAAGAATCTTGCTACAGTGCAGCTTTTACTAGTTCTTATGTATAGTCACTTGATGATTCTGTACAAGTATCTTTTGTGGAGGAAGAAAAAGCCACAGAGAACTTACTCAGAAATAAATACTGTATAAAATGTTAAATTAGTCCTTCCAGTTCTGCAACGGGGCTTTTTATCCGTGGTGGACAGATGACGGTACTCTGATTCTATGCAACAGCTTAAGAGTAGTTTCTGCAGAGTGGTGATGGGTGTATTCTCAATTTTATTTCAAATGGTAAAGCATTATTTTTCTGCAAGACCAGAGAGACATAAACTAATTTTGACTTTCACTTATGGCAAGTTGCATATATCACATTTGCATACACCCTCTGTGCCTCTGAATATATTTCAGTTGGTTACTTCAAATATAAGTTTTTCCACTTCACTTTTTAGCCTTTCTCATTACAAAATTACTAAGTTACTCATTCACTTGTAGGTTTCAATTTCAAGTTCTTACCAATTCTAGCATCTCTCCTCTTTAAGACCTCTTTACAGCATAAAATGCAAATGGAGCAGCACTTGGTATGCTGTGACATGATTTTTAAAGAATGAAGTTAGATTGCATAGCAGTTACTATTTTAAGCAAATTCTTCCCTATTTTCAATAGTGTAATAAATTCACTATTGAGAATGCAGCTTTTTTTTTTTTTTTTTTTTTTTTTTTTTTTTTTTTTTTTTTTTTTGGGGGGGGGGAGCACATGCAATGAATGTGACCTTATTTGGAGAACAAAGAATGGCCATAATCAAACCATTTAACTGGAAAGAGTTACAGTAAAAACAGTTAAAGGTGATGGTAACATGGGCTTATTTGTAGGAAGTCTGTATTTGAAGCTCCAACAGATTAAGTGGTTTAAGCAGCAAGTAGTGGGTTGTTGGCAAAAACAATGACTGTTACGGCCTCCTATCCTGTTTAGCATCCTTCCTACCCACCCAGCCAGCCTCCTTTGCAAGAAGGGAATTTAATGGATCAGGTGATCCCTGCAAGCATTAGTAAGCTCAAAATTTTGAAAATGGACCGTATATTTACAGTTTTCACAGCTGCCTTTATAATTTTAGGAAAAGGTAAAGTTAACTATTCCACAAACAGTTAGCTACTGACAAATATTTTTTCAAATGGTCCCGCCAGATGAATTACTCCTGATCTTTTTCTCTCCAGGAACCTTAATTGTGTTGAAGCATCCCTACCCACGGCAAGTGGAAGAACCTTCCATATATGAGTCTGTCCGAGTTCACACTGCAATGCAGACGGGAAGGACGGAAAGTGATCTTGTTCCAAATGCTCCCTCAGTAAGTTGTGTTCTGGTGGGGGGGGGTGCTTCTGGCCTGACTGTAGCATGATTGCTGGAGGGAGCTATGGAGTAAGACCAGTAATTCATCCCTTTATGGGTTTGTAAATGCAGGAAGTCTTTGCCAACCAAGGCAAAAACAAACAAAGACTTGCTAAGTATGGTCCCGTGACAAATAAAGCCTTTTGTAATTGTTGTCACTGATATCTTCAGTGTCACTGGGAAAACATTATCTGCAGCTGACCTAACTGAGTCTGACCATCCAAACAAAGAATATGTGAAAGACTGTCATTCTCCTGTTATCTTCCTTTTAGCATGCCATCTTAGCAGTAACATTATCGTGAATTAAAAACACACACACAAAAAAAATCATCATATCCATTTGGGCTACTCATTCTGACATCTGAGACTCACTTGGAGAGTAATTAGAGGTTCTAAATCCTCTGTAACTCATATCTAAGTGAGACAGGTGGTTTCTCCAGAACAGTTTGCTCAGAAGAGAGAGGAAGGTATTTTAATTATATACTATGTTTTTTTGAGAAAAAGAGGAAGAGTTACATTAGTATGGGTTAATGAAGTTGATAAAAGAACCACTTCTGATGTGTCTCACAACCAACCCTTCATGGCCAAGTTACACTTTAATCTCCAAAGAAGCTTGACTTCCACATACCACAAATAAAAAGACAATAGTTTTTCAAGAACAAGTACCAACTTTGCAGGAATTTGATTCTTACAGTCTCGCAGGTCCCTACGCAGAATTTCAGGATCTGAGAAGCCATAAGGTCCAAGTGCCATTCATGATACTAGAGAAACAGTTCAAAAATAATTTTTTTTTCAAAAAGCACATTGAACATAACAGGTTTTTCCTCTCGAGCATGTGGTTGTTTGAGAGAAGAGAATGCCACAGTAAAACATCACTTTCCATTGTTTGCTTTTGAGGAGCAATTTCTGTGGATAATTTCCCTGTCATTTAAACCCCATGTGCTTTGGGTTGCAACATGTAGTGAGTTAGAAACATCTAAATTTACTAAATAAACTATAACTGCATCTATTTTGCTGTGCTTGGTTTGAAAGATGCAGGCCAGTGGGTTGCTGAGGAAGGTACGGTCTAGGATGTTGCCTTCAGAGCCAGCACAGGTCCATGTTCACCCTAGCAGAGAATCCAGCTGTCTGAGGGGAGCATTGGAGTGAGGACAAGGCAAGTGGCCACAGGGAGTTTCCCAAAGAACAGGCTACTCTTCCATTTCCTGGATGTAGGCAAAGAGGGGAATGTGGGAAATGTAGCTCAATCTCTAACCTCGATCCTTTTCCTTGTTACTTCACAGCTTGGTACAAAAGAAGGATATTTGGTAAAACAAGGCAAAATAGTTAAGGTAAGGAAAACTCTCACTGCTGTCTTCCACTCTGATCAGCCACAGAACCTCCAGACAATGTGGAGCTGAAATAGCTCCATCTGCATTCCCCTGCAGAGATGAACAATCTGTGTTGTGACCAACAACAGAGCATGACTGTAAAACAGAGCAAGTCAACAGCTTTAAAATATTTTTCTTTCCTAAGAAGCAATAGACTAAATTCTCCCAAGGCAGTTACCATCCATTCTTGATCTTTCAGAACTGGAAGACAAGGTGGTTTACACTGCATAGGAATGAACTTAAGTATTTCAAAGACCAGACAGTAAGTACCAAACACCAGTTTTACTCTTTAAACCTCTACACACGCATCTGGAGCCTCCTTGTATCTCTGGCTTCTCGCATCTGTATCACAGCTTCCCAAGCTAAAGCTTCTCATACTGTCAGAGGGGTCAGACTTTTCAAGTAAAGTCAGAATTTTGCTGATGACTTCAACAAGAGAAGGTAAGTTTTACATCTGGAAAACATTTACTGTGTTCTGTCAGTCTTAGCTACTAGATAGGGTTGTTGTGTAAGTGGTTTTTTTCATAGAATCACAGAATGGTTTGGCTCAGAAGGGACCTCAAAGATCATCTCCTTCCAACCATAAGCAGGGACACCTTCCACTAGACCAGGGTGCTCAAAGTCCCATCCAGCTTGGCCTCAAACATACTGTTGGGTTGCTTTGTTAAGAGGATTTTAAGCTACCAGCGTTACACAGCTTTTATTGGTGGCTTAGACACACAACCTAACAGATGCTGTGCTATCCAAATAGTTCTAAAAATACTAGTAGTATATTTTGCATTTATTTATTTTGTCCTATTCTTTCAAGTGGTCTTACAGTATACGTAGAAAACCTTTCATTAAAAAATTCCATCTGACAAAGATTAACCTGCAGCATCTGGGAAAAACATTGTGCCCTTACAGTTGCTGCTCCCTTTCTATCTTAACCTAAGTAAAGATAAGAAACACCTCTAGAGTTTCTTTGCCCTTACAGTGCCTCCAGTTCAGGTTCCTTCATAAACACAGCCAAACTGTTTATCTCTGCACCTCTGCCAAGACTTGTTTCAAGTCTCTAACAGATATTTGTGCAACAGCAGACACAACTGCCTTCTCTCACCAAACATTACAATTTATAAAACAGTTATGTTTTTGCACGGCTTTCCATCGGTTTTCATTTTAGTTCAAGCTGACTTGAATTAGGTTTGCAGGATAACATTTCAAGAGTAACTTAGCAGGCAAGAAGGTGTCTTTGTCAGGAGTATGGCCTCCTTCCTGGCAGCAGGTCTGGTGTCTCCTGGCACTCCTATTGTTGCTGTGGGGTTGCAGATACCTACAGGTGAGCAGCTTGCAGCTGGCCCTAGGATGGCATTTGGTAGCACACCACAGCACAAGTGGCTTCCCTCTAGTGAAGCTTATAACTACGAGCCACTGAGCCAACAACAAAATGTAAGGAAAGAAGAGAAAGGAACAGACACCTCCATACACCTGATGAAGGACCATGGGAACAGCTAAGGGTGTTGAGGCAGAAAGCAAGATGGTTTTCTGCTTAAGCTGCCTCTTCTGAGGTCTCAACAGTGTGAAGCTGAAACAAATCAAGGAAAAACTCTCACACGTAGGGAGAACGAAACTCTTAAGGGAGAGGGATTGCAGTTATACACAGTCTATGTCCCTGCCTCTGTGCACTCGTGGTCTTGTCCAAAGAAACTAATATGTGTGAATATATATATGCATACACATGCACACACCGCTCAGGCAGCCAGACCCATCACTTCTGTTGCAAACACTAGCTCTGCTTCTGCATTTTTCCTTATCCAGCTACATCCTTTTAAGGCACTTAGGAATTAATTAAATCTCTAACAGCTGGGTAGGTCTCAAGACCTACATCCACCCCTTTGTAAACCTTAGTTGGAAGGGATACCAGATTTGCTGCTGTGTCAATTACATTATAAGGCATCAGCCAAATCTTCAGTAGTCTTCATCTAGCTCAAACATTCCTGAACTAGAGATCTCCTCTGGTTTTTGTCCAGATCTGAACTCTCCTGGGTTTTTTATATTTAGATCAATTCATATGATAATACTGATGCTACATTTGTTTCTATTGTATCTATGCCTGGAAAAATCTAGTAAAGGTCTAGATGCTCTGAAGATGAACTGAGATAGCCTTATCTTCTCTTTTCATGTGTTCCCATTTTAAAAACATTTTATTTTCAAGGCCACAGAACCAATTCGGGCACTTGACTTAACTGAATGCTCAGCTGTGCAATTTGACTATTCCCAGGAAAGAGTCAATTGTTTCTGGTAAGCTGCAGTACTTTGTTCATCTTGCTGGGAAGGTCAAAATAGAAAGGGAAGTTAGAAATGTAAACACTGGGTGCTTCTGAAAGGCCCCTTATTGGTTGTGACCTTGCTCATCCTCTAAGCCATGAGTCTCTTTCTGTCAGCCAACCTCTGTCAGTCCTGCATGGCTTTGCCAAATTACTGCTGGCACAAGGTGGGCCTCTGTGTAGTGGGCATTCCTTTTTTTAATTCTGTGAGCCTATATAACCATCTCCTAGACCCATGGATCTTGGGTTCAGACATTGCTACAGGTCACATGGTAACCACTTCTGTGCCCAGGCGAGGGTCTTTTATCCCTATGGACCCGGGACAGCATCTCCCTGAGCTGTAAATGACTGTCAGCCATTCTTGGTTATCCTCCCTCCTGGTGACTGAGCAGGAGCACAGACTTCCTGCCTGGCTCTGTCTGACCAGGTGTTGGTGCAGGCCAGCTGGGCTCAGTTTTAGGAAGAACTCCCAGTTGTTCTAGCAATCTAAGAAAGTTCTGTTTGCTTACAGTTTAGTGTTCCCACTGAGGACATACTACCTGTGTGCAAAAACTGGAATAGAAGCCGATGAGTGGATTAAAATACTGCGATGGAAACTGGTAAGGGATGTGCAGTGTTACATGGCAGGATGGCTCAGGCAGCAGCACCCTTGGTACTGCCATCATAAACCCCGCAGTACTGTAGCACCCAAGTACTACACTTCTCATCACCTGCAAGAGGGGAATACATTTGTTCTGGCTTCCAGGCCAGCTAGACTGGAAATACATACTTTTCACATAATCACAGAATCAGCTAGGTTGGAAAAGTTCTCTGAGATCACTGAGTCCAACCTGTGACAGATTGCCACCTCGTCAACTAGACTACGGCACTGACTGCAACATCCAGTCTCTTATTTAATACCTCCAGGGATGGTGCCTGGCCACCTCCCTGGGCAGTCCATTCCAATATCTTATCAGCCTTTCTGTGAAGAAATTCCTCCTAATGTCCAACCTAAACCTCCTCTGGTGCAGCTTGAGGCCATTTCTTCTTGTCTGTCACTAGTTGCCTGGGAGAAGAGGCCAACCCCCACCTTTCCACAGCCTCCTTTCAGGTATTTGTAGAGAGCAGTAAGGTCTCCCCAGAGCCTCCTTTTCTCCAGGCTGAACACCCCCAGCTCCCTCAGCTGCTCCTCATAAGACTTGTGCTCCAGACCCTTCACGAGCTCCGTTACCCTTCTCTGCTGGGCTCACTCCAGCACCTCAGTGATCTCCCTGAATAGAAGGGCCCAGAACTGAACACAGCACTTGAGGTGTGGCCTCACCAGCGCTGAGTACAGGGGGAAGTACCAAGTACAGGGGCACATTGTATGTGCCTGCAAACCCACTTCCACATTTTCAGGATGCAACTTTTAATATGCACTGCCACTAGGGAGAAAAAATTACTTCCATCTTTAAGGATGTCATTATGTGGTCGGTAAACATTATGGACCCTCAGCGCAGACCACACACATTAAGTCATGAAGGAAGCAATGAGAAGACAATGTCAAGGCTTGAAAGCACTGCTTCCTAAGAGATATCAGTAATTGGGTTGGTCATACTCACCCACATCCACACGCATGCCGGCAAAAAAGTAACAGATTGTCTTTCTGTTCCAGTCACAAATACGGAAGCAGCTGGAGGAGCGCAACGCCACCCTCAGTTCCTAGCTGTGCCGCCAGCACTGCTCCATTGGCAGGAATTGCCCCCCTGCCACGGGAAAGCAGTGCTTACTAAAAGACAGTTTCACATGCCATGGTGGGTGTGTGCCTTCACCCAGCTCTGCACACAAAGGATCCCCACAGCTGAGTGCTCCCGGGCTGCGGAGTCACGCACGGAGACTGCTGCAAAACCAGTGTTGGTTTGAGATGGTGTATGCCTGTAATGCACTTAATTCAAACACCTGTTAACTAATCACAGAAGTGGTCACTGTTGAAAACTTCTGTGGTTATTCAGAGAACTCTTGGTAATTTATTGGAAGCTCCATTGCAGCTAACCATCAGCGTCACGTTCTGTAACCTTGAGCCTGTTCTAAATATTTAAAACAAGTCATTCCTGCAAACATTAAATATCTCTTTTTTAGTACCTGTTTAGGCGTTAAACCTAAAGAAAAATGACAGGGGTAATTACATTTTTGTAAATAGTATCTATGTGGTAATCCAGAGAATATTTCAAGGCCCTTTTCAAAGTGACGGATGATTAACACTTAGTTCTGGTCGGGTATGTTTTTACATGGTTTAGATTTATACCACAGCGATGGCTAAAAGTGAATGCTTGTTTCAAATAGGTAATGGTGAGCAGCATGCTTGTTTACAAATCAGGGTTACAAGAAACAGGAAGCTGTTTCCGGGCAGTCATACAGAGGTACCCCAGGACCTCAAGGCTGGGTGACAGGGCTCTGCAGAAAGCTTTGCCTGTAGCAGCCACCAGCATTGTTAGCAGCATTACGAGTCAGGCCCATTACAGTCCCCCCTTGAAAATGCACCACGCTGTGTATTTTTTCGTCACGACAAAATGCACCAGATTTTGTTGCCTTTTTTCCCCTCACACAGAGAACCCAAAACAAGGTTTTGTCCAGTGCTGTGTTTAGCATTAAGCACTGCTTGCTTTATATTGAACAAGGAGCACCATGTATGCTAAAAATACAAATTTAACAGAATACATCTTCTGCGTAACCTGATTTACATCTGTATTGTGCAAGACTTGGACACATTAACAGTGTTGTGGCTCACAACAGGGGCAAAAAGTGGAAGCCCAGGACTTTGGTGCTGTACTCAAAATAGATGTTACATTTTGGAAGCAAAGCCTGACACACTGGAGAGCCCCAGGACCATTTGGCCTGACCTCATTGGCTGACCCAGCTGCAAGATTCCCTGAGCAATCCTGAGGCTCCTGGAGGGGTAGGGAAAAGCAGGGAGGCCCTGTCTCCCAGCATAACAGTCAAATTTATGCTGGAACAGCACACACAAACCTCCCACTTTGCAAACACTGCAGCCTGTGTTGAGCACTGCTCACGCAGCTGGTCAGTGTTATGTAACTCCCTTTACTGTGAGAAGACTGCAGAAGAGGAAGATTAAAGCATTCCGGAAGAAAGAAAATACGTATTTGAACATAGGGAATAGCATTTTATTGCAACTTAGAAATTCAAAATACTTGTAAATATTTTTATACAGAGTGTTTTCTGAATAAAATGTCATTATAAAACTACCACAGGTATTTGTATTCCTATACTGTACCGTTAAAGCTTTGTGCTCCTTTTTCCCTTAAAGAAGTGGTTTAACAAACTGGCATTTCCCATTCAGCTTGAAAACCTTCACAGAGTTTGTGTGAGAGAGAGGCAGCGGAAGGGGAAGAGAGAGATGATTTTCTCCAGCAGCGTCACTGTTCTGGGAAAACAGCTTGGCAATGGAGTTTGACGTGTAACCACAGAAGCAGCCTTCCCTTTTTCACATGGACAGCTGCTTTACAAAACGTTAGAAGCACGTTCAGCACATGGTGTCACAAACTGAAGCCAGTAAAAGAAACAGTGCTTGGCTGGCCTTGGAAGCCAGCACAGACAGACGAACAGCAGGAGTAGGCCTTCAATGGAACACAAACACACTTTGCCAGAAATACACACAGACACCTCGGGGCTCAGTTTCCAGCTGCTTCTGTGATGACCAGCAACATAAGTCCCATTCCAGCTCAGTTTAAATGGAAAAGGATTGACTGACGATCTGTAGTCTCTGCGAGAGCTTCTGAACTAAGAATTCCCGGTGCTCATTTCCAGCTCCACCATTTCCCCCTACCATGCCTGATGCTGCAGGTCCATGAGGTCTAACCAAGGGGCTGTGGCGCCCCCTTTCCCAACCTGAGGCAGAGACTGTCCAGAGCTCTCGCTCAGAGCTGCAGTGCTTGGCAGTTGACAAGGGGAATGTGGGAGGGAGCAAGGGGGTGGCAAAGAGCACAGGACTGACCCCCAGCAACAGGATCTCTGCCCCAGTACAGGACTCTCTATCCTTACTGCCCAGGCGAGAGACACACTGGTTATTTTTCCCACACACTGGTTATTTTTCAACCTGTAAACTTCTGGATTTTGTACATTTACAGTTAAGAGACCTGTTCTCACCCCAGAAAAGCAGATGTGCTGTGGGGTTTTATGGTGCAACAGAAGAGCGGACCAGGCTCTGTCATTTAAAAATACTGTATTTTATTTAGATTTATTTACTTAAGAAAACCTAAGGGTAAATGAGCTGAGAGTGTCACCGGTGATGAAGCCACACAAAGACTGAGACATGAGATCTTCACAACTATATTACACAAAAAAACCTATGAAGAAGTGAGACATGGTTTGGGTGCTTTGAGCTGGGCATCAGGAAATCCCCTAAAGCAACAGCTTCCATAGAAACAGCTTTCTTCTTAGTGGAAGCAGGATGCAGCTAGCATCCAGATTAGTAGCACTCCCTTGCCAAAGTATCACCCACGTAAGAAGGAAGGGATGTTTACTGATTGTACCGACACATCACTGCTGATAAACCTGCTCTCCCAATATGCTCTCAGCCATGTCCTTGATCACACTACACAACTGATCTGCTCTCCAGCAAGTCGTGGTGGCCGGCCTGAGAATACACCCTGACGTGTGCCTGGTTCCCTGTAAAGCAAAGGATCTGTGGGTTGCTTGTCTGAGCCAACAGCGTCGCGCCGATCCAGCTCAGCTAAACTCCATGGGAGCTATTTTGGTGGTCTCTCCAGTACTGCACAATACAAGAAGCACGGCCTAAAGTAACATCCACCTACAACACACTAGTAGATCATTTCAGATTCAGTACTATGTACAATTTACTCTTACTTAGTATACTAAGGAGCTGTGATATTTCTTCTGAGACGTGTTATTTGACTGACGATTATTGAATCCTTCTGTCCACTGTGCTGCAGAGGAATGCTGCACTCTGGCTATACCATCACGTTAAGAAACTTCAACGACCTGCCTCAGTTCTTCAAACAGGGGAGTGAGCTCCTTCTCTAAACTTACAATCAGCCCTGGAAAGAGAGAAGAGACAGAACATTCCATCAGACAACATCACTGAGAAGCCTCTCTCTAAAGCCTGCAGCTCCCTGCCCCTCCTATGTCAAAGGCAGTGTTTTTCAAAACATGAAATGTTTTACTTGAGCTGCTCACTCTCCATGGGAACAGCGTGCAGCACTCCCAGGCAGGGGGCCTGCAGTCCCCACCACTAGCAGAGGCACATCCCACACAGAGCAGCTCTCCCCCACTGTCGCCTTGCTGCTTCCCACAGCTACTGCGGCCCAAACAGCTGTGCCAAAATCCAGTGCCTTCTGCTCATATTCATCAGCCAATGCCTTTGTGAGCAAGGCCAGGTGCCTGGCTGAAGGAATTCCCCACCCCACAGAAATGAGAAGACACAGCTGCACACTACTGCAAATGTTAACCTGGAACTGAACAGAAGGAGACCAAACAATTGGTTTGTACAGCACAGTAATTGCCAAGGTAGCAAACACTCTCAGGAAGCAAGGGTAAGGTTAGTCACAGGAGAAACATGCTTCTGGAAGAAAAACTTCAGCAAGTCACCTAAAAATCTCTGAATTTTCACTCACACCTCTCCATTTTCACCTTCACAATATGCTGACAAAATTCATAGCAAGGAGCACAGTTAAACTATAGTTTGCAGTGAATTCAGGTAATTTATTTTCAATTACTTAAAATACTGCAGTCTTTTAAGGCTCAGGTATTTAAAATACATGTGAAGACATACCGGTATTGGCATTGCTGCTAGCAATGAAACTCACTACCAAAGGCAAGCGATTGAACTGCACCACCTGCAAGGAGAGAGAACAGTGCTCAGACAGGAGCTAACACATGCTGGAGGTCAGAGCTCTGAAAAAAATTCTTCCGGAAAAAAGCGTCCTTCTCAGTTTAAAGATCAAGCAGGAGCAAGAGCCACAGGGATGACTTTTCAGTTTATCTGTTTTTTGAGATTCATGGTTAAAAACACCAACAGAACTTACACCACACAGTACAGGGAGCTGCATGGGGAAAGCCTGGTACTTTCCTCCCCCTCCCTGTTCTACAGTGTGTTGTCCACCAGAAACCTAATTCAGCTACAAATGCTGCAGAGTACACCATGGAGACCAGACTCTCCAGAGGAAACAAGAGGGCAGGCAGGTTTACCATTTTAAAATACTGTTCCCTATACAGAAGTATCTCTTCTTCCAATAGGGAACTGGAACCTTGGATACAACAATAAGCTACAGAATCAAGAGAATCAAAGCAGTGTACTCCATGTGTATAAAGTAACTCATTAACCCATTTATTATCCAAACAAAGCTTGATACGCTGTAGGCTAAACTGCTGGTCAGTTTAACTGCAGTCATAACAAAAAGCTCTCAGGACCACTAGAATTTGAGAAGGAGCAAAAACAAAGCAGGTGATGGATTACACAAATAATCAGTTTGTGAACAATGTGAGTGGTATTCCAAAACTTTCTCACCTCAAAGTTACACCGGTAGCAAGATTAGCCTTGAAGTAGGCATGTGCTTAATTAACTTTAGGTGTCACTAATTATAAACAAATATTGTTTATAAAAGAGAACATAAACCCTTCATAACAAATTCTGAAGGCCATATGAGCAGCACCTGCTGCAAATTCATGATTACTACCTGTACAGAAAACTTTCACATTTTCAGTGAGTAAATCTCAGTTTTGAGAAATACAAGAGAAGTTTAATAAACAGTGTGAAAGTTTGTCTTAGTCATTTAAGCAGAGTAAGA